GCCTAAAGTAACCTGGGATGGGGAACTTCAGCTGAAAATTACCTTGATAGTACTGCTCTGTAGTGCAGTTGGTTTTGGTTTTAGTTTCTTTTCTTTTTTCATTCGTTGCAGGCCCATAATTCAGCTCCCAAATACATGGAGACTTATTCTTACTTCGGAATGCCTGGCCTTAGTCTGGCTAGTATCTAGCCAGCTTTTCTAATGTAACTATCCCACTTCTCTTTACCTACGCATGCTTCTGGTCTTTTTACAGCCCTCCCTCCCTCTGTCCCTCCCTCCCTGCCTCCCTCCCTCTGTCTGTCCCTCCCTTCCTCCCTCCCTTCCTCCCTCCTTTCCTCCCTCCCTTTCTCCCTCCCTCCCTCTGTCCCTCCCTCCCTCCCTCCCTTCCTCCCTCCCTTCCTCCCTCCCTTCCTCCCTCCCTCCCTTCCTCCCTCCCTCTGTCTGTCCCTCCCTCCCTTCCTCCCTCCCTTCCTCCCTCCCTCCCTTCCTCCCTCCCTCTGTCTGTCCCTCCCTCCCTTCCTCTCTCCCTCCCTCCCTCCCTCCCTTCCTCCCTCCCTCCCTCCCTTCCTCCCTCCCTCCCTCCCTCCCTTCCTCCCTCCCTTCCTTCCTTCCTTTCTCTTTCTTTTTTTTGGTGTCCCTTTATTTTTTATTTAAAAAATCATTTTTCATTTTACATACCACCAATGACAGTTTCCCCTCCCTCCACTTCTATCACTGTCTACCGCCCCCTCCCACCTCCCATTCACTCCTCATAGAGTGTAAGACCTTCCTTGGGAAATCAAAAAAAGTCTGGCATACAAAGTTGACACAGAACCAAGCCTCCCCACCCCCGTATCGAGGCTTAGCAAGGCATCCCACCGTAGGGAATGGGCTCTAAATATCCAGCATGCCCCTGGCAGTCACTGTCAGCTCCCCCAACATATCAAGTCTCATAAAAGTCACCCACATGCAGAGGGTCTAGTTTGACTCCACGCAGGTTCCCCATCTGTCAGTCCATAGTCTGTGAGCTCCCATTAGCTCAGTTCAGCTGTCTCTGGTTTTCCCCATCATGATCATGACCCTCCTTGTTCCTATGATTCCTTCTCCCTCTCTTCAAATGAACTCCAGGAACTCAGCCCAGTACTTGGCTGTGGTCACTGCATTTGGTTCTATCAGTTACTGGATGTAGGTTCTACGATAACAATTAGGCTAGTCACTAATCTGAAAGCACGGGAAGACGTGTCTAGTTACCCTTTCCACTGTTGCTAGGAGTTTTACATGGGTCATCCTTGTGGATCCCTGAGAATTTCTCTAGCACCAGTTTCTCCCTAACCTCATGATGTTGCCCTCTATCAAGATATATTTTTGCATTGCTCTCCCTCTTCATTCCTCCCCCAGCTTGGTCTTCTTGATCCTTCATGTTCCCATCACCGATCCTCTCCCTTCTACCCCCTCCCAGTTTACCCAGGAAATCTTAACTGGTTTCCCTTCCTGCGGCCCTCCATGTGTGTCCCTGGGTTGTGGATTGTAGCTTGGTTACCCTTTGCTTTGTATCTAATATCCACTTATGAGTGAATACATACCATGCTTGTCTTTCTGGGTATGGGTTACCTCACTCAGGATGTTTTTTTCTAGTTCCATCCATTTGCCTACAAATTTTAAGATGCCATTACTTTTTACCACTGAGTAATACTTCATTGTATCAATGTACCACGTTTTCTTTATCTCTTCTTTGGTTGATGGACATCTAGGTTGTTTTCAGGTTCTGGCTATTACAAATAATGCTACTATGAACACAATGAAGCAAATGTCCTTGTGGTATGATTGTGCATCCTTTAGGTATATGCCCAAGATTGGTATTGCTGGATCTTGAGGTAGATTAATAGCCAATTTTCTGAGAAACTGCCATACTGTTTTCCAAAGTGGCTGTACAATTTGCACTCCAGCAGTGGATGAGTGTTCCCCTTACTCCACATCCTCTTCAGCATAAGCTGTCATCAGTGGACTTTTTTATGTTAGCCATCCTGACAGGAGTTCTTTCCTTCCTACTCTATGGAAGATTATGTGGCTGGGTGGCTGGCTCCTGGAATCCTCTCCTCCTCCTTCTCTAACTTCTCCCGTCTTCTTTTATTGGGTTTCTCCTATTTGTTCTCTCTGCCTGGAAGCGCCACCACCTATCCTTTCTCCTGCCTAGCTATTGGTCATTAAGCTCTTTACTAGACCAATCAGGTGTTTCAGGCAGGCAAAATAACACAGCTTTATAGAATTAAACAAATGCAACATAAAAGAATGCAACACATCTTTGCATCATGAAACAAATATTCCATAGCATAAATAAATGTAACACATTAAAAATAATATAGTAAAGTCTATGAAGAATTGCCTTGCTGTGCCATGCTTGGAAAGGTGACCCTGGAAGAGAACAGGCTGAGCATTAGCCAGGGAACAAGCCAGTAAGCAGCAGCATTCCCCCAGGGATTCTTTGGTTCCTGTCTCTAGCTGGGTTCCTACCGTTATTTGTAGTCCTGATTTCCCTCCATTCATGGGCTGTGATGTGGAAGTGTAAGCAAATAAGCTTTTTCTCTCCAAGTTGCTTTTGCTCACGTTGTGTCTTGGCTAGTGTTCTATTGCTGTGCAGAGGCACTATAACCAAGGTAACTCTTGTAAAAGAAAGCATTTAATTAAGGGATCATTTAGAGTGTCAGAGGGTTAGGCCATTATCACCTTGGGAAGGAGCATGGGAGTAGGCAAGTGAAAACAATATGGGATAAGTAGCTGAGAGCTATACACCCTGATCCACAGACATTAGGCAGAGAAAGAGAGACAGTGAAACTGGTGTGGTCTTTTGAAACCTCAAAGCCCACCCCACACTGTCCCAGCTAATTTTAAGTCAACTTGACACAAGCTACAGTCATCTGAAGGGAATCAATTGAGAAAATGCTTCCATAAAATCTAGCTATAGGGCATTTTCTCAATTTATAAATGATGGAGAAGAGCCCAGCCCATTGTAGGTGATGCTATCCCTAGGATGGCAGTCCTGGGTTCTGTAAGAAAACAGGCTGACCAGTCCATGATGAGCAAGCCAGGAAACAGCACCCCTCCAAGGCATCTGCATCAACTTCTGCCTCCAGTTTCCAGAGCTGCTTGAATTCCTGCCCTGGATTCTCTCATGATGGACTACAATGTAAAAGTTTCCGTCAAATAAACCCTTTTCTCAACAACTTGCATTTTGTTCATGGTTTTTCGTCACAGCAATAGAAACCCTAGCTAGGACACACATTGACAGACCTCTTTCAACAAGGACATACCTATTCCCACAAGGCCACACCCCACTAAGTATCCCTAAACAGTTCATCAATTGGGAACTAGGCATGCAAATATATGGGGGGGCATTTTCATTGAATCCGCCAGTTGGTGTTTATCACAGCAACTAAATAACAAACGACAATAAGCAGTTTGGGGAAAATTCTGCATAGCACAAATAGAAAATGCTAAGATCTATGTGGTCTAGTTTCACATCAGCTAATGAACGCTTGTCCAATGGTTCTCCATGAGACAAAGCCCATGGAGATCTTCTCTCACTTGGCAAGAACCAGTGCACCCTGGGACAGCACAGAATATTGCTGGAACTGCATGGACTAGAGGCTGTCCTCTTTCTCATAATGATGATGATTCTCTTGGTGGTTTTAGTTTACTTCACCAGTTATGCATGGGACAGATGTGATACTTCCCAGAAACTTCATTTTTTTTCTCAAATATTTTCCCCCTAAAATCTTTGAGAACTGACGCTTCTCAGGCTTATTATCTGGAAATGCCAGCTGTTAGCCCAGACCATGGGAACCACTCTGATACACTGCTGACAATAAAAGTTGATGGGCACATATGCAAACAAAACAAAGCATATCGAGTACATCTCTCAACTCTGGGGAAACGTTAAGAATGGTGTGACATGATAGAAAGAGGCTCTTATCAGTTTTTCCTATATGGAGAGGCTTAGGCTTGCAGAATCCTTTCATAGGACAAGGGAACAGAGAAATACAAGCTAACTGTATGCAATCAGATTACGGCAAATCATCCCTGTTATGTCAATATGCTTTGATAAGTTCTGAATGATATTTTTGTTCTTGAGAATGTGTGCCTATGTCTATCACCTTTAGGACAGGATGTGCCTGGCTCAATATTTAGCCAAACTAGCAAAATAATGAATGTTGTTTTTGGTTTAAAAGTTGTTTTGATTTAAAGTTTGGGAAACACATGTTTGTTGTTTGCTTTTCGTTTCTCGAAACGGTTTCTCTGTGACTTTGGAGCCCATCCTGGAACTCACTGTGTAGATCAGGCTGGTCTAGAACTAACAGAGATACGCCTCCCTCTGCCTACCAGGTGCTGGGATTAAAGGCGTGCGCCACCACCGCCCGGCACATGTTTGTTTTTGATATATAAATAATAAGGCTCCAGCTATTCAGGACTGCCACTGTGTGAAACTCATCTGATGGTGAGACTTTTCTTTGTCCCCATGCCCTCAGGACCTGAACCCAGCTGATGCAGGACCTAAACAGAAAATGCCTGGCACAGCAAAATGAAGTGGAGAGCTGGGCTGAGGACTCACCTTAGCAGAAAGCCTCAGTATAATGCAGCCATATTCACCCCTCATCCTTGACCACTTTCTATTGAAGGTCACAGGGGGTCAGGAGGTAGAGAACTAGGCTTGTCAAGTTGGAAATCAAGATGGGAAAGAATGAGTACATAGAATTTAGAATCAGAACAGAGAGAGATTAACGAGACAGAAAAGGATTCTGAGTTAGACGCAATAACAAGGGGCTCGCCTAGAAAATAAGCAGGTAACTTGTGTGGCTTTAGACCACATAGGATAGGATACAGGGAGTCACAGCAGCCTGAGGTTTGTAGACAACCAGAAATTGTACCTCTGCCTTCTGGGCACTGGATTTAGGGCAAGGGTGTGGCTCAACCTTAGAAAATAAAGAGAATTGTGATGGTAGGGTGGGTGGGTCAGGGTTTGTGTGACAAGACTGGCCCCATCTTCAGGCAGTAGGTGCCTAGGGCACTCTACAGCTCTGCAGCATGTGCTTCCAGCGTATTAGGGATGAGGAACCTGCCCAAGTCTACCCAGTGAGTCCTTGATGGTCTTTAACTCTGTTCTGGCCAGCTTTGTCCTAGCCTTGCACGCCAAGCAGTCAGCTGCTATCACCCAAAGTTCCAACTTGAGGACAGACTGGGATTTAGAAATCTTGGGAAAAAGGAGACCAGATCCTCCGATGCTAGGAAGACCTCTGAGGAGGAAAAAGTACCATGGTGCTTGCTTGGGTTGGGCCTGATCTATCAACTTGATTGACAGATGCAATGGCCCATTCTAGAGGGAGAGGTGTGGAGAGTTAGAGAAATGAGGAGCATGGAGCACATTCAAGCTCCCAATACTGAGATGTAGAGTGGAGACGTATCTTCAAGCTTTAAGGTTATAGTTGGAATAGAGTTGGGAAGAGAAGTATTGAAAGGACACTTTGAGTGGAAGAGGTGGGAGATTCATGACCGACACCACTGCTCCCTGTGTCTCCAAGATTTCAATTGCTCCAGTTTCCTGCATTTGGGAGCCAGATTAACAAGTAGACCCACTCTTCCATGGACGTGAGGTGGCAGCTCAGAATTTTATGCCAATGGAGTTGTGACACTCTCTAGGTTTTGTACATCTTTTCATTCCTGGAATGAACCCAGCACTTGGTCTCCCCCATAATGTGGCTCACAGCTGGCTCTCCATCCTCTTTCAATTATGCTCAATTGCTCTTTCTTTTGTCTACAATGATACTTATAACACAAACTTTAAAGAGATTGGACTTCTCTTCTGCTTTATCATGATTTTGTGTGTATTTTTACATATTATGTAGGACGCACCACGAAGACAACACCCTTCAGATGTTACTTCCAGACAGGTAAATTTTGTTTCAACTGTTTTTAACTTATGCCTGCATATATGTTTGTTACTAATTAGACACATCTTCAATGCATTCCTAAGACAGATGGAGTCCTGTGCCTAGTATAATAGGTCTTGATTAAATTGCATATATGTGTATATATATGTACATGCAATATATATATATATAATGTGTAGCGAATACAAATTGTAAAATAGAGTAATAAAACAGATCTTATACTTAAGACTTTGAAACATTGGGTCGCCAAATCCACTCAGAGACTAACTCCCTGTTTTTGCTTCCTGAATCTCTCAAATACATAAACATGACTTCAAATATGTTTTCTAGCCACTTTCTTTAACATATTGCCTCGTGTGTGCCTCTTTAAGGGCACTGGTGACATTTGTTTGGTTTTGGATTTTATAAAATGAGAGTCACAAAGCTCAACATTGATTCTTTAGTGAATGCTGTATGTAATTGTGGTTCCCTCATTTTTATTGCTGCTTAATTGTGGAACAAATCACACTTCATTATTTCCCTTCTTGTTGGTCACATTGAGTTGGTTCAACATTGATCTACAATGAACAGTGCCACCATGAACTTTTGAGCACAGGTCTCCTTCACACACACAAGAGGACATTCTGATTACTTAAGAAGTTTGGATCATGGGAAAACAAACTTTTCATTGATTTGAAATCCTGTCTCATGTCTTCCAGAGCATGACATTGTCCCTTACATCAGTAGTTGACTCTACACTGCATGTCATCTCTTCAAAGCATTCAGTCTTCATTCCTTGAGCCTATGGTACTCACAGATGCCACACAATGTTGACATAGAAGGCTAGATTTGGGAGCCAGATGAAAAAGTAAATCCACTCTTCCATGGATATAGGATGTATGAAATGAAACATGTAATAAGATGATCCATTTGCACATTTTTAATGGAATTATATTTGAAATAAAATTGAAAATCCATGACCATTAGTCTGGGTTTATAGAAATGTGCAAGGTTTAATTGATTAATAGGAATCAAGAGGAAGCAAGAACCTCTGACAGCCCTCCTGATGCTACAGTGTGAATTGCTCCACCTCTGAACAATTTGGAAAGAAATAGTCTTGGGTTTTGTTTTGTGGTTCTTCCCTACCTCTAGTAGCTAAGTAGACTCTCTCTGGTTGTTCTGATCATTTTAATTGACACAAACCAAAATGAAGCACGTGTTAGCTTTATATGTTCTGAAAGGTTCTAGTTCTGTTTTGTGTTTTGTTTTTTTTTTCAATTTTCCTTAAGTCTTTGGATAAACGTATCCACTACATGCAGAACCTAAGGAAAGAAAAAAGGAAATTGGGAAAAAGGTTTGCAAGGCCTGCCCCCCTTCCAGATCCAGGAATCCTGGTAAGTGTGGAGCTCTCACAGAAATGGACAGTCCTCACATGCTACTGGCATCCACCTTTTTAATTCATCTGATCATTCTTTAATTTTCTATCAAACAATTTGTAATGCCACTCCAGGGAGACCCTTGAAATTCCTCTCACCAAATCCCCATTGTTTCAGTCTACTCAGCAACTGTCTTCTGATGAGAACATGGAGTTTGCTCTCTGAAGCCATATAATCTGTCTGTTTTGTTCTATTTATTTAAATTTTAGGAAATCTCCTAAACAGCAGTTTAAATAGTTTCTTTAGCCTTTAATTAACACTTGAAATGTTAGACAATTCTCTACATTGATTGCAACTTATTATATATTTAAGTATGTACTGTTATGTGTATATGTCTGTTGTGAGTAGAAGCCATGTGTGTTCAGGTCCCCACAAAGATCAGGAGAGGCTGTCATATACCCTGAGGTCACAGGTGGTCGTGTGCTACCTAACAGGGTTACTGGGAATCCAAAAGCTAGAGCTGTTAACTCTGAGCTATCTCCAGCCCTTGATATATGTTTATCAGGATTTAAATGCTTCCAAAATGAAGGCTATCATACATGAGTCTCTTACAATGGCATTAAACTGCACATTTTGTGGCTCAGCAGAGATGTGATAACTTTTGCACTTGACAATCCCTTGGGTATCTGAGGACATCTGTCACTCTCCTACAATGTCAGAATTACTTTTTGTCAGGTTGAAAATCCAGTTGTTTTTTTTTAATCTATTTTGCTTTCTGTTGACTGGTGAGCCCTGCCCATCTCAAGCAATGGCTACACTCCATACATAAATTTTTAGCTGTTTTATCAGTTTCATGCACTTCATTCTCTGCATTCCATCTAGCTGGTCCATTCTTCCCTCAAAATGCAGGCAACCACTGATCTTCTACCATTTCTCCACTTTGCCCTTAGTAATATGCACTCAAGGGTTCACCACGTACTTTACGCCTTGGGAGTCCAGTTCTAAATGTAAAAATTACATTGCTTTCCTTATTGTGGAGTACATCCATTTGGATGAGCGTGTATGTATCAAGGTATGCATGTAGAAGATAGAAGACATGACCTTGCAGAAGTTGATCCTCTCCAAGATGTCTGGCTTGGCAGCAAGTGCCTTTATCTGCTAAGATATCCCACTGGTCCAACCTAGTTTTTTATCAGTGAAAACTATGTAATTTTCTGGATATCATCTAGTGACTGATTCACACACTGAACGATGTCCTTGCTGCAATTAAGGACTGTTGTATACACAACTGCTTGTATAAAGAGACCTCACTCTTTGAGAGTTAGATAACTAATAGTTTAAATAAATTTTTCTTACATAAATATCAGTTGTCTTTCCTTTCTGATTGTGTGTTCTTCTCCTGCCTAGTGGACAAGTGACTAAGCCTAGAGTCTTCTAGAAGAAACCATTCTCAAGATGAAGATGTGGACTTTTGACATTGAGCAACAAACAGGCCATGGCTTGACTTCATCCAAAGAATAAAGTCATGTTCCCCCATTCTGCAAAATAAACAGAGCTTGCATTCAACATTCAGGCTATGGGCTTCTAAATTTTAGTAAGTTTACAGCTCATCACTGTTTTTGTGGTAAATTGGTACCTTAAATAATATGTAAAGATTTTGAAAATGTATATTTAAATTGTTACAATTAGGTGCATGGCTTATTTAGATATTGGAAGCTATGATTCAATAATAGGAGAATAACAGGATAATACCCCCTCTAGATTTACAATGATTTGGGTTGATACTTCAAATAAAGTGTAATATAAACAAAATTGCCACTGAAAATCAAAGTTCATAGAACTTTTTCTATGCAGAACTGAAATGCAGTTTTGTGTTCATACAAGAAATAAATAATAACTGTATCTGGTGTAGTAAAGTAATGCTTTGTTATATAAGTAGTTTCTAACTTGAAAATAGAATAATGATTTTCTAAAATATTGACAACTGTTCAATCACTGTGAGCAGTGCAACTGGTCAGTTATTTTCAGTTTAAAAAGTAAAGTGGGATTCAAGGAATTTTGTTTTTAAAAATATAGGGAAATATGAGAAACTATGATAAACAGTCAGAAGATAGGCTGAAATATTTAAAAGTTACTTTCCAGAGACTGAGCAACAATAGAAATTGTAACGTGTTTTTTCAAGGTCTGAGAAGTAAACTTGATCCATCAGGCTATACCACAGGCTGCCTAGAAGAAAGTTCCCTGCTGTGCTACGAGTCAGGAAGAGGAGCCTGAGCAGAGTTCGTAAACCTCCTGAGTTGAGGATGCACTGAGGAAAAGAGCAAGAATTCAGGAAGCCGGGTTTAGCTGCTAATGTAGGGAAGAGCTCCAAAGGGTGACAAGTAGGCAGATAACGGCAACTGTCTAGTGCTCCCACTGACCGCCAAGGGAGGACAGTGTGGTGATACTTTCCTTTCTATGATCCAACAAATAACGCTTGTCTGAAGATCAGAGCACAGAGCCGGCCTCACTAGTCGGTCAGTCAGTGGTGGCACACATCTTTCATCCTAACAGCCACATGAATTAGCCTAGAAGAGCAAAGAGCTTCAAATGCCAATTTACAACATTTATCTAGTCTCAAGGTTAACGGGGTCTTAGTCTGCTATCCATGGCTGTTATAAACATATGACATAAAGCAACTTTGTGAAGGAAAGGGTCTATTTCAGCTCACAACCTCAGGTTATACTCTGTGGCTGAGGAAGTTAGAGCAGGAACATAAGGCAGGAACCTGGAGGTCGGAACTGAACAGAGGCTATGAAGGAGGCTGCTTTCTGACTTGCCCCCTCTTGGCTTGCTCTGCCTGCTTTTGTGTGCCTAGGGATGGCACTACCCCCTGTAGCACAAAAAGTCAAAGACGCAGAGACAGACATTGGAGTTCAAACTGAGGATCAGAAAAGCAAAACAGTCGTCAGCTACTAGCTCTTAACTCTCAGGCTGAAAGGGCTGATCCACAAGCTGATTCAGACTTCACTGCTCCTCAGGTTCACTCAGCCTGCTTATGTTCTCCTCAAGTTGGCTAGAGAGAATCCTGAGACTTCAGTGTGTTCCTCTCCTCAATGTGGCTGGAGAATGAATGCTAGTTCTGAGACCCTGTTCCATGTCTCCTGAGTCCTGAGATTAAAGGCACGTGATGATCCCAAGTGCTGAGACCATCTTTGGGCAAGCTGTTTCTCTTTAGGACTGGGCATATTTCTTGTAGCTCAGTGTGGCTGTCTTCCTCTACTTCCCAAATGGTGGGATTAAAGGTGTGTACCACCACGGCCTGGCTTCTATAGCTTGTGGCTGACTTTGCTTTATGAGTCCTCAGGCAAGCTCTAATAAATCAGAGATAATATACCAAGCCACAGTGGGCCAGGCCATCTCATGTCAATCAACAGTCAATAAAATGCCCATTAGATTTGTATAAGGACAATCTGACGGATGCATCTTCTCAATTGTAGTTCCTGTTTCCCAGATGTCTCAAGCTTGGTTAAGTTGACAAAACTCTAGCCAACAGAGAAGGAAGCACTTGTGTCAGTGAGGCCACTGGACACACAACAGGCGTGTGTCACAGCTAGGAAACGCTCTTCCCCCCCCCCCCCCACCATATAAAAGGCTGCTAGCCAACCTGCCTGGCTTCCACCCTCATGCATCATTATTTTCCCAGATAACAAGCACATCCTCTTCACAGAAATATTCTCCAAGTTTGATACCACAAAACTGTCATAGAATACTCCTGTGGACCATTCATCTCAGGAAGGAAATGAATGCAAATTGTTTTCAAGCCATTTATGCAGTACATTTTTCAATTAAAATAAATCAATTGAAAACCCAATTTAAGAAAAATTGTAATAGACTAAACAATTAGGGAAGTATTTACATTGGGGAGGAGACAGAACTTAAGTACACTGAATAAAAGCCTGGAGCAATTACACACCTTAAAATTGCTTTCTATTGCTGTGATAAAACCCTAACTAGAACCAACATGGTGAAGAAAAGGCTTACTTTATATAACAGCTTGTGGTTCAGCATCCAGGGAAGCCAAGGTAGCAGTTCAAGGGCAGAGCTTGAAACAGAAACCAGGGAGGAACACTGCTTACTGGCTTGCTCCCTGGCTGAAGCTCAGCTACTTTCCTTGCACAACCCAGGCACTGCTGCCTAGGGATGACAGTACCACCCACAGTGGGCAGGCCCTCCTGTATCAGTTGTGAATCAAGAAAATGTCCCAGACAGGCCCAGGGTTCTTAACTGGGTGTGAAGTTGTCAGCCAAGATTCCCCTTCACAGTGTCCCAGGAAAAAGAGCTGGAAGATTTCAGGATACAGGATGTACCATGCCCTTGGACCACCTGCATCTGCCTCGGCTGACTTTGGAGCAGTTAGAGAAGTCAGTCACTCTAAAGATGGGGAACATCTGGTGATAGTCATTTCTGAGTGTTGTAATTCACACATGACACTCTGGTCCTTGATACAGTTCTGTGCCACAGAAGTGCTAAGAGGCTAGGAGGAGAACAATCTAAAGATGCAGAGGACAATTTAACATTTAAAGACTTCTAATGTGAATTCTCTAAGATTAGGGAGTCAGAGATGAGTAGTTAGGAAGAAATAGCAGGTTGGTGAAGTTGAAGCAAACATGAAGTTCGTGGAGATTAGTAACCTTACATCTGAGATGAATTTGTGTTAATTGTACTTTGTAGTTCCATGAAATTTATCAAATCCGGAAACTAACGAAAATGGAAAAACAAAAAAATTGCAAGTCAATAATGTGGGGATAAATTCTCACACGTCTATAGAAATGGAAATATGAAAAGCATTTTTACTGTTTTGAAGCAGAGCTACTTCAAATAATAGTTCCTGTGAGTTTACCAAAGTAATTGGAATCATTTGTTCACTTAAACGTAATGTGTTCGAGGATAATTTATAAGGGGGAAAGAAATAGAAACACGGATAGGGAGAGAGAGAAGGGAGTGAAGAAGAAAGAAAAGAATGAAAAGGAGAAAAGGAAATGGCCCCGCTTTACACAGCCTGGCAGACAGAAACTATAGATACTTGGCGACTGTCCCATCTAAAGGACACAAGGCAAGTACTGAGCTTGAGGGCAAACAGCTGATTTTGAAAATACAGGCTGTCAGAATAACTGCAAAGCCTTGGTGTGGAGAGATAAACTCTGGACATGAATGTCAGGCTGGGTCCTAGCTTTTCTAAATCTAATATTAACCAGGATGCAGGAGAGTCTCACGGTTATGAAAAGCTGAGCTGCACTTCACTGAAGTGTCTCTGGGTGGTTTTTATCGTGTCCCACAAGGGAAACGCGAGTCGCGATCCTCTTCTTCTGGTTGGGAATACGTGACGATTTTCTTCTCCTGCTGGCTCAGCGGGACAGCACTGACTCTCTGAGAAGCAGACGAGGCAGCTGGCAGCGCACTGCAACCCAGGTTTCAGAGCCTCAGAGGCCAGAGTTCCTCCACTCCCAACCTTCTTTTCCAGTTACCTGCCCACACCTAAGTACGCATGTGCAGAGCTCCTGGGCTGGGCAGAGACCCGGTCACCACGCAGCCGCAGAGTGTGAGAAATAAGCCCCGCCCCGAGGGTGGAGCCTCGAGAGAAGAGGGTTGGGCTGAGACATTTCCATTCGGAGGGACTGACTGACAGCTAAGTGGGCGCGGCGCAGCGGTGGATCAGGTGGAGCACTCACGGAATGAGCGGGGCCTAGCGGCGGCGAGCGCAGTGGGGCGGGGCTTGCCGCCGGTGGATGGAGCTTCGCCGTCGTTGGGCTTCAGGAGCCCAGCGAGAAGACCCAAGGGCCGAGTCGTTCGTTGTTAGGCTCTTGTCGGGTGGCATTTGCCGCGGAGGCGGGGCTTGATGCTGAGGCGGACGAATGGGGATGGCCGCCGCGTCGGGTGCAGCAGACTGGCACTGGAGGCGGGGCTTGCGGGAAAGCCTAGATGGGCGGGGCTTGTTGCTATGTCGTGTAGGGCGGGGTTTGCCAGAGGCGGGGCAGGGGTGTGGCTTGCAGTTGGGCGGTGCTTTTTGCGGGGTGGGGGGGTGCTAGCCTCAGGGTGGATTTTGCCCCTCAGGTGGGGGAGGGTCTCGTTGTGGGGCAGGTCTTGCCGCAGGGGTGGGGCTTTGCCTCGGGTCAGGTGAGGGCGGGGCTTGTTCCTGGGCGGAGCCTGCTGCAGCCCCTTCCCCCCTCCCCCGTGAAGATCCGGATCCCGGCCTGGGGGTAGCGACAGTCCCCATGGGGCTGTGCTTTCCGTGTCCCGCGGAGTCCGCACCGCCATCCCCGAGCCCGGTGAGTGCCCAGCTTCGCCCTGCTCGGACTCTGTAGTGCGGCTGGGTGGAAGGAGCACCTGACCGGCCGCTGCACGCTCCGACAGCCTCCCGAGACCCTCCCTGGGACCTGACAGGTTGGGGCTGGCCCGTCCCCGGGGGCTGCTCTGCACACGTGCGTCTTCTCCTGTCTGTACCCGCTGTGCGGGGAAGGTCCTCGACGAGCCGCTCTCCGTGGCAAATAGTGGACATTTTACGAACCTGCCGCTTCCTTTTGCCCAGTTTGGAACAGCTTGGGGCCCTGCCCAGCTTTGAGTTGCAGATAAACAAGTAACGCCTTTCAGGTGTAGAGGTGTCCAGTCGTGGTGTGCTTTGGGATATATTTATATGAAAGCAGTCACTATCGCTTTGAGATTCGGATATAAGCAAGCCTTTTTCTCTGTAGCGGTAGGTTTGTGTTAATACTTTTACCCGTATTTGATAACATAACAGGTCTAATTTTTTCTCTCTGCATCGGTTCTTGGTGCGGCTAAAAATTAGCTGAAGCGATGAGAGATTTAGGGAAGTGTATTAGTCCGTTAGCCACTAGGTTGTATATAGTAAAGTGATTGTTAGTCGATGTTGGAAAGTTCCGCTTTCCTTTGTGGCTGCTGTTGATCTAAGATGCTGTGAAAATTGTGTTTAGCTCCTGAGAAAAATATCCTGTCAGCATTTGTTAAGCCATCTGTCCCCACCGCTGTCCTATTCCCTGTGGTTACAGGACCCACTGGTATATTTCACTTAGCACCTAAGATTTCCCTGATCTCATAAATAAACAAGCTGTAGGATCAGCAACCTCCCTCCTTTTCCTTACCCACCATGATCTCTTTCTGAGTTGTTACTTCCTTCAGACACACAGGTGTGTATTTGTTTACTGAACTCAAGCTTTGTGTGCACGGGTGGCTGTGTTCTTAGTGCCTGGAAAAATTATCGACAATCATCGTGATGTGTGTACTTGGTATTGAGAAGGAATGGTTAAAAATCACCAAGATAATACTACTTGTTGTTTCAACATATTAAAGACTTTATAATTAAGAAGTAAATGACATAGAAAAATAACATGGTGTTTCCAGAGGTGGGACACGTGCCCCCTGAAGTTTTTTTCTTTATCTCCCCCATCCAACTCAGTGAGATCAGCCCACTGGTTCTAAAAGTTTTCCCAAACCCTAACCTGCTTCATTCCTATTTTTAAGTAACTTCCAAATTAGCCTCGTGGCTTAAACATCATTTAAAAAACATTTTGTCCCTACTGTTAAGTCCATTTTTATAAGAAGTAAATATCCTGAAGGCCAATGCATATTGATTTCTACGTGTGCTAATTGTTATAGTGGTCTAGGGAATGAAACTCAGGAAGTTAAATATTTAATAAATATTGTAGTATTGGTAGAATTTAGCTTTATTTTGTTTGAGTGAAGTTAAATTCTTGCCATGTTGCTCAGGCTAGTCTTGAACTGGGCTCCAGCAATCCTACTTATAGTCCCTCACATGCCTAATATCTAAAACTGTAGTTCCAGCACACCTTAGTGGACTCTTACGCTGACTGTCCCTGTGAGGCTTTTACAGACTGTTTCAATTTGCACATTATTATTCATTTTTGCTGCCTCTAAAGTAAAGGTGTGTAAGAGGGGTCCATGACGTTTGATTTTTCTCTTGAAACGTGTTGTGTATTTTCTTAGGAAGAGAAAAGAGCAAAGCTGGCAGAGGCGGCAGAAAGAAGACAGAAAGAGGTGAGAAGGCAGCAGTTTGCCTGCTCAGTGCGTGTTTTATTTCACCTTCTGCATCGTGTCCTCTTCCTCTGCTGTAAAGTGGGTGATGACAGACACATGCAGTTTTGCACTCAGAGATAACCATTCTCACAGTGATGTCCAAGTATCCATGAACTGCATGCATTGGCATCATTTACTGTGAAAACAGCCCCAGAGGACTCTTGCCTTGGAACTTACCCTGGGATAGTATTTTCCCTCAGGATAAGCCCACCATGCTGATGAGGAACTCTGAGGTTCAAAAATGGCTGCTTTATGCAAGGCTTTTGTAGCATACTGGCCTGTTACCCGAACCAAACCAACTTCCCACCCCTAAAGGAAAAGCTAAAAAGCAAAACCAGCACCTTTGGACAGCAGATACTTTTGTTTTTGGTTTTTCCCTGTAATCTCCATTTGTTGAATTTCTTCAAGGCCGCGTCTCGGGGGATTTTGGATATTCAGTCGGTGGAGGCAAAGAGGAAGAAGAGAGAACAGTTAGAAAAGCAGATGGAAGCATCAGGGCCACCAGCAGGCGGACTCAGGGTGAGTGTCACACAGCAGTTCCTTCACTAGCTCCCCTGGACATGCTCTTGAGAAGACTACCAGTAACTCGAAAACACAGGGAGAAGACATTGGAGGAAGTGTCCATTTATTTTAATATTGGAACAGATTTCTTTCTTCCCTAAAATAATAGATTTCCTTCAGAGTTTTCTTCTAGGCATAGTATCTTAAAAGTTTTATATGTAATGCTAATCATCAATGTGTCAAAAAAAATAAGTCATATAGAACCATGTTGAAAAGGTAAAACCCCACCAAACTCTGTCATTTTTGACAGTTGTGTTGGGATCTTCTAAAACTTCTGATTTCTAGCTTGCTTGTCCTCACTCCAGGGTTTGGGATCTTTGGTTTCGTGTTTATTTGGGTTTTTTGAGACAGTCTCCTGTAGCCCATGCTGACTTTAAACTCACCATATAACCAAGGATGGCTTTGAACTCTTGATCCCCCTGCTTACACCTTCCATTGAGCTCATCTAGGTTTTTAGGGAGTCTTGATCCTTTTGTTTGTGAGCATTATCTTAATTATGCAAATGTGAATTTAGACTATGGTGTGTGTAGCCGTGAGGGTACATATTCTTCCCAGTGCCTATGATGCAGGGAGGCTGTAACAGGAGTGTAAGGCTTCTATCCTACATGTTGTTGCCCAGGGAAACAACAGCTGCATTTCACAGGAACACTACTTTTAGCAGAGGGATAATTGTGAAAATCATAGTTTCCTTAATTGCTTTCATTTTTTGGGTAATTACTCTTTGAAATTTCATTTGGGTTTGTCCCAGAACCACATGCATACATACTCTCATGGATATATATGGCCAGAACTTTGGGGCAAGAAGCTAGGACCACCCTAAACTGAGTTGAATATGGCCCGGGAATGTCTCTTAGAGACAGCAGTTATCTCTGCTAATAGTAAGTTACGTTGTCCAGTTTCAACTAATGAATTAAATTCTGAAAAGAATACTGTTTTTCCTTATGACAGACTTTTAATAATTTATAAAATAATTGGGTTCAGTATTCATCTATGTCATGTGACCATTTTTATGGATGTCATTTCCTAGACTTGAAAAGATTTTGATAGATAATGAGATCAAATCATTATCAAAAACATGTTCTTTCTTTTTCCCACTAAAAAGCTGTCACTAGGTTTAAGTCAAGCAGTGTTCTCAAACAAAAGAAAATAAATAAATAAAAAGTTAAATCATAGTGTCGAGATCCACCAATTCCTAGTAGGAACAAAGGTACTAAGTTCACAGATAGTGTTAGGTGTTAAGTTTAGTTGAGCTAGCCATCATACATGTAGTCAGAATTAAGAAAACATTTATTTCACATGTTGTAGCCTAGTAAACCTATCATTTGCTCTTCACATCTAAGGATCCGGCTTTCCTTATTGAATCTGCAGCTTCTCTGTTCTGAAGCTTGTAGATTGCAAAGATACTAGGCCTCGGGTTACTTCTAGGCCTCACGTTACTTCAGACTTCTCTAAAGAGCTCAGAACTAAAAAAATGTTTCCATGGTTATCCTTTCTTTTTTGTGTGTGCTGTCTCTTTTACAAAGTCTATCTGATTTCCTTAGTTGTGAGCATCAAGTTGCAAAATAGCTGCAGGGTTTTCTTAAAAGGAATAACCCATCCGCAGTGTGGTAATCCTGGCCCCTCTTAATCAGCAGCCTCAGGGACTGTGTCCCTGTCCCTGCAGCTACCCGATCAGCGTTCAAAAGGAATGCACAGGGGCCAAGGAGTAACAAGAGGAGAATCACAACATAGACAGTGGTTCAGTCTTCCTGGCCGGGCTCTCCAGTGTCCCCTTGTTCTGTGCACGGCCTGGAGGACCCTATGAACCAGGGAGATTCTTGTCATGAAGAAAATGTTTCCTCCCCATAATTATATATCCGTCATCTGCCTGTCCCCAGAGGTGGCATGAATCGTGTTCAGCGTCTTACAGAAAGGGACTTATCTGATGAAGCCCTGTGACGCCCAGTGACGCCCAGACCAGAGTCAGTGCCCATGCCAGGATCCATGACCCCACCATATCCATAGCAGACATGGCAATGCAGGAGCTGTGCCTGTTAATTTGAAGTGTCCCCGAGGCTGGAGCTGTGCACAGAGATGTTTATCTTCCCATTGTAGTTCCAATTTAAAGCCAGATTGAGGTTTTCTAATGTTGTATTAACACTAATCTTAAAAGAAACTTTTAAATAGAGACATAGGTTTAAAATCCTTAATACTACAGACTATATCCAAAATGTGTGGCAGACTGTTCCACATCAGTTTTTGAAAGGATCGTTTTTATTATTGTGAACTATATATATATGGGGGGCGGGGTACGTCCAGGTGAGTGCAGGGGCCCTCAGAGGTCAAAGGCATTGGATGCTCTGTGACTGGAGTTACAGGTGGCTGTGGACCACCCAGTGTGGGTACTGTCGATTGAACTCAGGTCCTCTAGGAAAGAAGTGCATGCCGTATACCACTGAACTCATTCTCCAGCCTGTTCTTTTCTTTCACAGACTAGAAAACACAGGATGGTTAGACCTCAAAGAAGCCGTGTAGTAAAGAAAAATGAGTTAAGGCCTGTCAATCCTTAGTTTTCCAAATGTATTGAAATCATGATAAAAAAACATCTTCAGCACTAAATATTTTTTAGATACAGTTTGAAAGCAGTACTTATGAAACTGTGAATATTTATTGTCCTTGGAGGATTTTCTAGAACTTACTCTCACAGATTTCATAAATTTTGCTTAACAAACTGACACATAGAATATTTTCTCACTCAAGATAGGGAAACACTCAAGATAACACAAAAGTATTTAATAACTATTCTTCCTTGGGTCCTGGCTCAAGAAGAAAGGCTTTTTTCGTTTTGTTTGTTTGTTTGTTTGTTTTCATTTTGTGTCCTCACTGATGCTGCTTTTCCCCTTCACTGTGTTGAGTGTTTGGGATGAAGCAAACGCAGTGTTTGCCAGCTTCCGAGTCTGGTGAACAGGCTGCTCACATACATGACCAGTTAGTTATAAGGCATGGGTTTACTGCTTACGGACAAGCTTCCTGGTACAGCAGGAACTTGGGGACGACTCCTGGTTCAGGACAGCGTTTCCGGTCAATGGAGTTTGCTGAGGAAGGCCTTGGAAAGCAGCCCACTCCGGGCCCCATTTCTTGGGAGCAGCATGACACATGCAGTTCCAGCATTGAAGGAGATCCAGGGTGCTGGCTCTTCTCTCCAGTCCCCGCCCCCACTGCAGAATATTAGTACTTCCAGCACAGACTCAGACTGTGCATGAGGGAGGGAACCGCAGGCAGAGAACAGGGGTGGCCTTCCAAGAGGCCGGGTCCATCCAAGGTGACCCTCTTAGCTACTCTGAACCATTGTCTTGCCTCTATTTTCAAGCTGCTCTCTTTTTCAGATAATATAAAATTGGATCATTCATGGCTATTTGCAAACAAATCATTTTGTCCCATAATTTTCTTTTTGTTTGTTTATTAGAATGCCATTGCATAATCTAAGTAAACATTTACAATGACTGTTTTTACTTTTTCTAGTGGACGGTGTCATGAATCATTGCACACTGCAGGAGAGTCCTGCCACTAACTCCAGCATCTGCAGTCGGATGGAGTTCAGCTGAGTGTTTCTTCTTCGCACTGAGGAAGAGCTAGACTTTATATCATTTAGTGCCCTTGAGAGCAGCGTATGAAAACCATACTAAAAATATTGGTAAAAATTTTGATTTTCAAACTTACTGAATTACCCATCCTTTCATTCAATCCCTCTCTATTTATTTTCTCTTCTACAAGTGGTAACGTGCCACGTTTTGTAGTTAAAATAAGGATCTAAAAGGTACATTTGCTTGATGTGCTCTGGTCCCACACATATCTCCAATGTTGCATTTGCCATAATATCTCTGCTTTATAAGTGACCTTGCTACTTAGCCTCATGTGGCACAGCCTTCTGTCTGTTCTGTTTCACGCTATAGGAAGACTTTGGCTTCAATTTCCTGACTTAGTGCCTTTAAGCTGATTATCAGGGAAATCCTAAAGATGCACTGAATGACTTCAGATAAAGAAATTCCTTATTTTTATAACCCACTAAGAGATTAATATTTGTAGGCAAATGTGGACTTTCTGCTAATTTATTTTCTATACCTATGGCATATCACGTTAACTTGAAATTACATGTCAGTAGTACATGAGATGTGTAATACTGATGTGTCCCGCCAAAAGCATGAGATCTGTGCAGCGAATGAATGAGGGCAACTGACAGGCAGGTTGGTGATGAGTGATAATGTACGTGTTCAAAGTTCATGGGAATTTTTATTTTTTGTATTTTTAAAGAATTATTGTAAGATGTATTCAGACATGACATTGCCAATGAAAGCATGAAAGAGAATTACATGAGTTCTGTACCCGGGAAGATCGCCTTCAGGTGTCTGTGCAAGCATCAGGAAACAATTTGGTGTGATAGTCATACAAGAGGTCTGAAGATCTCTCTAGGTGAAAACACGACATGTACATACAGAGTAAATCTATTATATCTGAAACTAAGTTATATTGTGTAATACTTTTAATCTAAATTTGCAAAGTATCCATCAAAATACAGCCTACCACAAGGAGACTTAACTACCAGGTCAAAGTGTGGGATGTGCAAAAGTTAGCATTGTAAGACCTGACTGAGGCTTCAGATTCAGAATTAGTTAGATGTTTATGTTCTCCATAATTCTGGGATATTTGAAAAGAATCGAGCACACTGAGTGAGATTCTTCTGCACATGGAGTCCTCTCATTTTTTGTCTCTGCCCAGCCATCTCACTTCCTGGCTCTCTGTACAGACCTGCAGACCTCTATGGTCAGGTAGTGGCAAGCTCCATCCTCTGATCTTCAGATAAGCTTGGTTTGTACAGGCAAGATATCTCCACAGATCTCCATACATTATACTTGATTCATGACATTGTGGCTTGTTTTCTTCTTACTACATAATAAGAAAAGATGCAAAGATGCTTCTGTTATGGTTTACAATGCCAGCACCTGATTCCCTACCTTAGAATTTATAGATTCCAAATGCCAGTCAGGAATCTCAGTGAATTAGGCCAGGTCAAGCCACCAGCTCGCCTGCCCCTCGACAATGTGTCAAGCATGTTATTCTTAAAGAGTTGGAGCTGTAAGAATTAGTTTTCTATTGTCCAAAGTATTTTGTGAATATCTAGGCAAGTCATATGAAATATCAGCTCAGTTTTCTTCACTTATAGATTAGTGATATTTTCTTCATAAAGGACAGTGAAATCAATAAACTGAATTTTAGTGAATTTTGGTAATTAACATTTCTAACATAGGAATGATCTCTGATAGTTGGATGTGGAGAGAGGCAGCACACATCCTTTATAATTGGAAGCCTTCCTTCTGTTAGGACAGACATAAAATTCTCTTCACTTCATCTTCAATAGTTGCAACTTGGATTGCGCAAAGAGAAGGCTCGCTTTCTAGAGGTAGTATTGCATTAATACAAAACTGGCATACTTACTCTAGAGGCACACATGACATAGGGTACATTGCTTGCTTGAGATAAGTGGGATACATTGCTTTTGCCAACTGTGGACTGACACTGTCTTAACAAGGCCACGTGCATGTCTATGGCCTGCCCTACAGATATGATGATGTGCTCAACCTTCATGAAGGCTGTATATGCCATAGGTACAAAATGGTGACCCGAATCTCATGAATGTGATTAAAAAGAGGAAACAGGATGCTTGATAAGAAACTAGGCAATGGCTGTTAAAAATCATATAACCATGTAAATATTTTGCTTAGATTATGGATAATGATGTAGTGGTGATATGATTACAATGTTGAATATATCTTCCAAATGTTATGACCAACTTACTAAAATATAAGAAAAACCATCAGAAGCTAGGAAACAAGGAGGACCCAAAGACAGACATACATGGACCCCCAGGGACGCTAAAAGGGACAAGATCTCCCAAGTAAATTGGGAGTGCAGGTTGGGGGGGAGAGGGAGGAGGGAGAGGAAGGGAGGAGAACATGAGGGATGAGGAAGGTCAGGTTAGGGGAAGGACAGAGGAGAGCAAGGAAAGAGACACCTTGATAGAGGGAGCCACTAACAAGAAAACTGACACTAGGGAAATTCCCAGGAATCCACAAGGATGACCCAAACTAAAAACTAAGACTGGTGGAGAGGCTACCTTAAATGCCCTTCCTCTATAATGAGATCGATGACTACCTTTCAGTAGCTGATGGAAGCAGAAGCAGAGATTCACAGCTAAACACTGAGCTGAACTCCTGGAATCCAGTTGTAGAGAGGGAGGATTCATGAGCAAAGGGGTCAAGACCATGCTGGGGAAACCCGCAGAAATAGCTGACCTGAGCAAGTGGGAGCTCCTGAACTCCAGACTGACAGCTGGGGAACCTGCATAAGACTAAACTAGGCTTCCTGAATGTGGGTGTCAGTTGGAGGCTAGGGCGGGCAGCCTATGGGGCCTCTGGCAGAAGAACCATCATTTATTGATAGTGCATGAACTGGGTTTTTGGAGCCCATTCTCTATGTAGTGATACGTTCTCAGGGTAGATACATGGGGGAGGGCCTCCGTCCTGCCCCAAATGATGTGACAGACTTTAATGATCCCCCGTGGGAGGCCTCACCCTCTCTGGGGAGTGGATGGGGGTGGGATACAGAGATGGTAAAGGGAAGTGGGAGGATAGGAGGGAGAGGGAACTGGGATTGATGTGCAAAATAAGATTGGTTTTAATTTAAATAAAAAAAGAAAAGTAAAAGAAGACCCATCAGACACAAAAAGATAACCAATATGTGCAAGCCACAGTCGTAATTCTAACTCTGAAACTGAGACAGCTGATGATAAAGGAGTTACATATATCATAATAGAACGTCTCTTTTATCCAGTTGCTGTTTGATTATATCGGGACTGTGGTTTATTAGTTTTCTAATTTTTATGAGCCCACATGTTATAGATTCTGCATTGTTTCGGGTATATGAATATACATTTTTCTATATAAAAGTTCCCTCTGCCCATCTCTTTAAGTAAAGTGTTTTTACTTCATCTTAAACAAATTAGCAGTTGTCTTTGTAGTTAGGGAACTTCCATGTCTCTGGGATTAATTATAGAAGGAGAACTAATAGCTGTCTGGAAGGACACGTTTCTTGCCTCAGCCTGTAAAGAAGAAATGTTATTATGCTGTTATTACTCCTGCTGTTTTAGATAAAAAGAACTGTAAAAAGGCTATGTGCATTATCCCCAGAACTCTGGGAAATTGACATGAAATTCAAATTTATCCTGTATCCAAAAGTTTGACTTATTTTCACCAATAAGAATTATACCATGTCCTTGGAAAATGGAAGTATATCTTGTTGATTTTGAATAAAGTGTAATTTAACAGATTGGAAAAAGTTAGGTCGATGTGCCTGCCTCCTGTTTTGAGCAAAAGGGGAATTTCTTTTTGGGGGGATATTTCTTTTTTTACACAATATTTTATTAATTCTTTGAGAATTTTACACAATGCATTTTGATTGTATTCACCCCATTTCCTCCCAGATCTACCCCTACTTCCCTGTCTACCCAACTTCATATCCTGTTTTTCTTTACCCTTTTAAAACTAACCACGGAGTCTAGGTTGTGCTGCTTCAATACTCTTGGTTGTGGGGCAGGCCATGGTTGACCTACCAAAAGTCACACTCTTAAAATTCACTCTTCCTCAGCCGGGCGTTGGTGGCGCATGCCTTTAATCCCAGCACTCAGGAGGCAGAGGCAGGCGGATCTCTGTGAGTTTGAGGCCAGGCTGGACCGACAGCCTCCAAAACAGAGAAACCCTATCTCGTAAAACCAAAAAAAAAAAATTGACTCTTCCTCTCCCAGCATCTATCAGATGCCATTAGCTAGGGGTGGGACTTTGTGCTCACCTCCCATGGAGTGCTTGGATTTTTGTCTGACTTGAGATTGCATAGGTCTTGCTCACAGTGTCGTAGCAGCTGTAAGTTCACGTGTGCAATTGCCCTGCTCTGTCCAGAAAAGCTTCCTGTCCTCAATATCACCTCTGACTCTTACGGTTGCTCTGCCCCTCTTCATGGTGATCCATGAGCCATAGGAGGTGGTGTGAAAGAGACATCTGTTTACAGCTGAGCATTCTGTTATTCTCAGAATGTCAACCAGTTACCAGTTGCAAGACTCTTTGTTAATCACCATCTAGTTCCTTCTTTTCTAGGTAAACATCTCATACTCCCTTGTATACTACGTGCTCTGCACACACAGACACACACACACACAGTCACACACACACACACACACAGAGTAACCTGATTCAGATATGGTTATGAGCTCTATGCAATGATTTTCTAAAACCAACTAATGAAATATAAAAAACAGTATCACTGGCCGGGTGGTGGTGTCACACGCCTTTAATCCCAGCACTCGGGAGGCAGAGGCAGGTAGATCTCTGTGAGTTCGAGGCCAGGCTAGACCGACAGCCTCCAAAACAATACAGAGAAACCTTGTCTCGTAAAACCAAAAAACAAAACAAAACAAAAACCAGTATCACTAACAAAAACCTACCTACCTATAAACATCTATAAAAGTGTGTATAGCAGGCTTTGGAAGTAGTTTTGTTTTTGTTGCAGAAATTTATGTCACCAACCTGAACCCTCAGTTCTCCTTCTATGTGGGTTTCTACTACACTGTTCTTCCTTTTATGATTTATTTTGCAAATATTACGTCAAATCATGACTACCACGGTTTAAGAACTAAATATGCATAAACTCCTTGACTTGAGTGTGACTGTGACACTTACATTAGATCCTAAAGAGCACTGACTGCTTTAGAGGTCCAGCCTTTGACTTATGTATGAATTTTAGGGCAAGAACAAGAAAATTTCTTCTTAGTGACATGTTATCCAGCAGCTTATGAAGTGAGCAATACAACCTGGGAAATTTTTCTTGTTCCTTCCTTTGAATTACATTGACAGGTAGAAATCTTTGCTCATTTACCCTGTGACTATTCTTTTGGCCAACCGCAAAGTAATAGCTAACCAAGACAGTGGAGAATTCCACAGCAGATTTATGGATGGTAGGAATGAACGCTTGACCTCATTACTTCTTAGTCACCAGTTACTCATGCACCTTTGCCACGTGACCTGCAGAGGGGCTATGCAGGTCTTCCACTGTCCCCCGCTTCTGCAAGTCTCTTAAAGGCTGCATGGCCACCTGGTTTTGGCCTTGTCTCCACTTGCTTACATGAATGCTTCTCTCTGTAGGATTACTGGAATCCTTGGATTTTTTTAACCCTTTATCTCTTTCCTATCCTCTTTTCTTGGATGTTACCCTAGCTGACAAACTGATGCCAAACCCTTTGAGTCTTCACTGTCTCAGTAAGAGCCATTGATATTTGGTCCTGTCCTCCAGGATGCAGCACTGCTTTCCCATATCACCCTTGGTGTAGATCAGCTAACAGCTAGTCAATGTCAGTTTTGAACATGTTCTTAGACACACTTGAAAGGCCACAGTGGACGTTCTGTAAATCTAATAATCCTCCAGGTCCCCCAAGTATGGTCATGTCATGTCCTTAGTGCTCAGAGTTGTTTCAACTTAACTAAGCTATTGTAAAGGGTTAACCTGGGTAGAGCTAATCTAATCACAGTCTTAAGAACTGAAGACTTCAGCCAGGCAGTGGTGGCACACGCCTTTAATCCCAGCACTCGGGAGGCAGAGGCAGGCGGATCTCTGTGAGTTCGAGGCCGGGCTGGACCGACAGCCTCCAAAACAATACAGAGAAACCCTGTCTCGTAAAACCAAAAAAAAAAAAAAAAAAAAAAAAAAAAAAAAAGAACTGAAGACTTCTCAACCACTAGCCAAAAGAAGAAGAGGCATGAAGGGAGAAGAGGGGTCTGAGTAATGCCATGCCAAGATTCTGGCCATAAGCCAAGGATTGCCAGTTACCTCTGGAAGGTAGAAAAAGGCAAGAAATAGATTCTCTCCTGACGTCTGCAGAAAGAAACACAACTTTGAAGACACTTGGGTTTTAGCTCAACACAATCATGTTGGACTTCTGACAATAGAATTACAAATGATAACTCATGCTATAATGGTATTAAATTATTTTTGTTCAATTACACCTATTTGTAAGTGAATTTTCATTATTCGAAGAAAAATTTTAGACATAGGAGATAGTTTTGAAGGAAAGATTGTCAATAACAATGAACTTTAATATTGTCATATGTTTGAAAAGATACTATTCATTATACCAAGATCATTTTACCTTGCACAAAATCTGTAGGCTTTATTCCTTTTAAGTTTTCACTAAATGCTTTTCTAGATGCATGTATGACACATTTGCAGCAGCCCTAACCTACACCAAGCCTGCTAAAAATTTCCCTATAAACAGACTGGCTGCTTGACTGAATTGGCCATGTGGCAGACAGATGCTTCCTCTGAGAGATTCTGGAGCAAGGAAGATGATTTTTTTTCCTATGAGGAAGATAGTGAACTGTTGAGTTAACTCCACCATTTAAAAAAATTCAACCAGGCAATGGTGGCCCATGCCTTTAATTCCTGCACTCAGGAGGCAGAGGCAGGCAGATCTCTGTGAGTTTAAAGCTTGCCTGGTCTACAAAGTGAGTTCCAGGGCAGCAAAAGCTGTTACACAGAGAAACCCTGTCTCACCAGCCCCAAATTAAATAATAAATAAAATAAAACATTTCATGATGATACCGTCTTAGGGTTTCTATTGATGTTAAGAAACCATGACCATGGCAACTTTTTTTTTACTTTCTTTTTATTATGTGTCTTTTTAAGACATGTATTTTGATCACCATTCATTTTCCCATCCCTTTGCATCCATCTTCTACCCCTGCACATCCCGCCAAAAAATAAAACAAAATTTAAGGGAAAAATTAAAAGTCTCTTCATGGAAGCTGTAGTGTGATACAGTGAGTCATGCAGTAAACCCCTTTGTCCATGTATCTTTACCTGCAAGTGTTCACTGGTCTGGTGCAAGGCCTCTGGTTTCTACTACACTGTCCATGCTGGACTCATCCTGAACATCCTGTTTTTTGCCCCATGTTGTGAAGATCCTGCAGCTTTGGAACTGTAGGTCAGGTCCCTTCACATGCTCCAGCAGATCACAGATTGGGTGGATGTTGGGTCAGGCCAAGTTATAACCCTGGTTCTGGGCCTGGATAGTTGCAGGGCTGGTCAGCCCGCCAGCCAGCTCTCCCCAATCCTCACCACCAGGGTAAGCTATCCAGCATTGCCGCAGTTAATTCACCTCTTGCAGCAATGATCAAGGACTTGGGGTCAATTCTCATGCTCTCCCACACCTACACCATTAAGGCCAGCTCTATTGTGTTGTCCCTGCAAGTAACAGGGACCACTCTCACAAGTGCTGAAGGTTTTGAGGAATAGGGACAGCCCTCCAGCTCTTATGACCACAGGGCCAACTCCTCCACCTCAGGTGCTGATTGATGGGCAGGAGGTAGGGGATGGCACCTCTCCTCTGCCCATACTCCCACATGTCAGATGAGTAATGTTGCTCACAACATTGAGGCTGGTTCACCTCACCTCCCACTACTGGGCAGCTCTGCTGTGCTGCCTAGGTGAGGGACAGGGCCTGTTTCCTGAGTGCTAAATCCAGTAAGAGGGGAGGGTCAGCTCTCTCATCTGTTGCAAGCAGTAAGGGGCAAAGGGGGCATCTCTCACCCTCCTGCACCACTACATGACAGAGTATTGGGTACAGTCCTCCCACACTTACAGCTTCAGGGCTAGCTCACCCATACCTTCACCAACAAGGTTGGCTCTGTTGTGTTATCCAGGTAAGGTACAGGGTTGCAACCTAGGTGTTGTAACTGGTCAGAACAGGGACAACACTCTCACTCTTGTGACCTCAGGGCCTACTCAGCTGCCTCGGGCATTGATGGGGTAGAGGAGCAGCATGCCACAGGACAGATGGGTGACGGGGACAACTCTCCCTAGCTCACTACTATTTTGGGGCTGGCCTACCCACACCTACACTAACTGGGTTGGCTCTGTTGTGCTGCCCCGGCAGGGTGCAGGGTCTGCCTGATCTCCTGATTGTTACAGCTGGTGGGGGTCAGGGACATCTCACCTGCCCCAGGCATTGGTGGGCAGGGCATGAGGGTAGGGAGAGGACAATTTCCCCTGCCCATGCATGGCAATTCTTATAAAGGAGAACATTTAATTGTGATGACTTGCTTACAATTCAGAGATTTCTTTCTTTAACATCATGTTAGGACATGGTGGTGTACAGGCAGACATGGTGCTGGAGAGGTAGCTGAGAGTAATACATCTTGCAGACAACAGGAAGTGGTCTGAGACACTGGATGGTATCTTGAGGATATGACACCTCAAAGCCTGCCTCCACAGTGACACTTTCTAAAACAAGACCACACCACTCCAACAAGGCCACACCTCCTAATAGTATCACTCCTTTTGGGTTTATGGGGGCCAATTACATCCAAACTACCACAGACACTTAAGGTCCTTCCCATGGTCAAGTCCACACTCATAGCTACTGGGTGCAAACCTCCATTCCCCTTCCCCATGTGAAGATATTCTACACAGCTATAACTTGACACTCCTCATATTTGTTAGGAAATAAGTAGTTTGAAGATTAAGTTTATTTTAGATTAAAGCATGATACAGAAACAGATAATGTGTGGGGTTTTTTTTATTTTTCATTTTTAATTCTTAAATCAGTGTGGACAATATCTTGCTGTTCATTGGTACAAAACAGCCCTGTCCTGGGTATACAAGTCTGTAACATCATTCACTACAGTGAATTTACTTCATGAGACAGCATAGCATAATAGGACTAACTAAGATACATTTTAATAAGAAAATGCTTGAAATAAAATCACAAAGTTGATGAACATTTGACGGTGCAGTCTGCACATCACAATGTAAATGTACACCAGCTTATGCATGTGAATTTCACTAAGTGATCTTCCTAAACATAGCCTCTGTGTGTGTGTGTGTGTGTGTGTGTGTGTGTGTGTGTGTGTGTGTGTGTGTGTGTAGGGTGTGTGAAAGGTACCTGCTATTCCTAAGGGGCTTCACAGACAACATCCAAAAGTACCCCAGAGGTTGCTTTGGTCAGGGATCAGAGATGATCTTTAAGGCAATCTTCCAAGTGAATGTAAACATCTCTGATGTGGCCTTTCCAGTTAAGTATTATGGCTGTGAAGAGTGTATCGCATAGTCCTATGGACAATTTTAGTAGCACATGATCACATTGTCATTTTGTAAAAAAAAGCTATAAAATCCCGCCATTATAAAAGTGTCTGGGGTGCTTTAGCTCATAGACATACAGCAGGCACTTTCTGTTGACCTATCCATACATGTTAAATATAGTCTTCTAGGCATGTTCAGTTCCAATGGCTGTGCGTAGCACTCAGTTTGTTTTAAATACTATGTTCACATATTGAGTGATAATGATTTGCTTACAATTTGTCTGATTTTGTTCTGAGTTTAGAATTTTTCCCCCTTAGGCAAAGTTCTACAGATGCATTAAAAATAAATAGTGCTACCTTGTGAGCCTTTTCCTGCTGATAATGTGTGTGGTTCTCAGAGCATGTGGACTACACTGGCTACACTGTAGAATGGACACAGGCCACTGCATGAGTCCCCTTCCAGAGACTAGTTTCATTTAATCTCCTTCTTAGCCTTGTAGCTGGCAGAGACCACCAGGTAATTATCTGGGTTCATGTCCTTCAGAGTTGGGGATTTGCTCTGCACGGGGGATGTCTTGCCATCCACACGGGAGATCTGCAGCATGCGGCAGGGGTCGTGCTTGAGCAGATAACCCGCGAAGGTCTCCCAGCCTCCTCCCACGCGGACCATCACATGTTTGTTGTGCAGCATCTGAAAGGAAAGAGCAGTAAAGCGCATCAGGCTTTGAAAGTTCGCACCAGACCTCACAGCAACCACAGTGTAGCCTGCCTCACTTTCCATGACCCTTGGTTATCCATGCAACACAGTGTCTGCCTGGGACAAGGCTTGTGAAGGAAAGCTTGTGTGCAGACGAATCTTGGGAAAGCATCTAGAATCTAACTTTCGTGTGTCACAAAGCATCTGTGTATATTTCTGACTGGATGCACATGAAGGCGTCTTCGTGATGTACAACAGAGCACTAACACGCCCTACCTACCTCAGCTCACACCAATGTTCCATCCTTCCCGCTGGGTCATTTTCCTCTCAACCAGAATTTAGGAGACCATGGAAATTTCTAGTATTGAGTTAATGTTAATAAATGATGAAAATGCACTCAGAAAAAAAATGAGATATGTTCAAGTCACTGAGCCTTTCCTTTGACAATAGTCTTCCCAGTTACTTTAGAATATACCTATTAAAATCAACTAAACCAAAACAAAAATAAGTATATACACACACACACACACACACACACACACACACACACACACAACAAGCCCCCTCCAAACCAAACAACAACAAAATAATACAGACAGCAGAAACTTACCTCCAGGCCAGGGAGCCATCCAGAGCTCCAGCCTCTACCTCTCCTGTGACAGGAAGGTCCCACCACACCTGGGGACATGGTACTGGGGACTGAGCCCAGGGCATCTTGCATGCTAGGCAACTCAACAGACTGAGCTGCATCCCCAGACCCAAGAGAGTTTGTAACTCTGGGGAAAAGTGAGAAGTCCTTTTCAGTCTGGAGTATTCTCATCACATAACCACACTCTGGAGGTTCTACAACATATCTGCAGAAGCTTGCAAAATGGAAATCTGGACTACAGTCTACTGAACATGAAGAACACGGGAAATAAACTCTCCTCTTGTGCAGCTTTTGTAGTGTATGGGATATGAACACAATATTGTTGGCACAGCCAACAGCTGAGGATTACCAGGAAATAGCCTGCAGCTCATCTAAGTTCACACCTCTGGCTTAGTCAACAAAGACTGTTGGACATAACTGAACTACTTTCTGTGAGGAACCTGGGGTCCTAAGTCTGCCTTCAGCAGAGGAAAGTGGTGTTAATGACACCACAATTGAAGCAGTCAGTTAGGTTTTCCAGGATCCAAGAGCTTTGTTGATTAATGATTGTGAGGACTGGGGGTGAGGGTCTGCATGCATGTATTTTCTCATCTTGAAATCGGACCCTACATTGCTTGCTCATCTCGATCTTTGTTTCTTATTGCATTCTCAGGCAATCATAGGAGAGGTGACTCTAAAGACTGACTGCCATCTCCTGTCCCTAAGCCATTAAAGGAGATAGAGAACCCATGCTGCTGTGCATGCCTCCATTTAAAGTTGCCTACCAGAAAATTAGAAAAAGATTCTTCCCTTTTAGAAACAGAGAAGACTATCTGCCTATTAAATACTTCATGGATACACTGGACACCACAAGAATTAGGGCATTGTGAGCACAAGGGTCAATATCGTGATTTGTTTTCTCAAAAAAATTTCAGCTGCTTTTGTTTTCATTTCTCACAACTGTGAGATGCTTCTCTTTTTATCTAAAACAAGGTCTCTCTCTCCCTCTGTCTGTCTCTGTCTGTCTCTGTCTGTTTCTGTCGTCTGTCTGTCTGTCTGTCTGTCTGTCTCTCTCTCTCTCTCTCTCTCCCCCCCTTCTGTGTTTGTGTGTGTGTACGTGTGTGTGTTTCTTTTCTGCCCCTGACCTACGCTATATTACAACAACAAAAGGATTGCATAAGCAAACAGCAGCAGCTCGGAAGGCTTCCTGCAGAAGCTCTAAGTACTGTGAGTCCTGGATATGCATCTTATTTATAAGACTTCACACTCCAGAGAATATTGATTCCACACTGAAGGGGGTGGGGCTTCAGTGCATCTCCGTTTCACTACCTGGGAGTTAGAGGGTTTTCTCACAACACTATTAGGTTTCCATGGAAATCTCCACCATCACATATCTGAAACAAGGGACTCAGGAGGCAGTCTTACATTTTTGACCTCACTGTAACATCTAAGAAGTCTGTGGTCGAATGGCTAAAATCAAAAACACCAATGACAATTTATGCTGGAGAGGATGTGGTGAAAGGGGAACACTCCTCCATTGCTGGTGGGAGTGCCAACTGGTTCAGCCACTTTGGAAATCAGTATGGAGATTCCTCAGAAAAATGGGAATAAACCTACCACAAGACCCAGCAACTCCACTCTTAGGCATATATCCAAAAGATGCCCATTCATACAACAAAGATGTCTGTTCCACTATGTTCATAGCAGCTTTATTTGTAATAGCCAGAACTTGGAAGCAACCTAGATGTCCCTCACCCGAAGAGTGGATAGAGAAAATGTGGTACATCTACACAATGGAGTACTATTCAGCAGAAAAAAATAATGGAATCATGAGATTTGCAGGCAAATGGATGACACTAGAAGAAATCATCCTGAGTGAGGTAACCCAGTCACAAAAAGAGAAACATGGCATGTACTCTCTCATATATGGATTTTAGACATAGATCTGGGGAGTGCCAGCCTACAATCCTATGGCCAGAGAGTCTGGGAAACAGAAACTTCATTTAGCGGCTGGTTAAGTACTGAGCTGAACTCAAGAAAGCCAGTAACTCAAGAAAGCCAGTAACAGAGAGGGAGGACTGATGATCAAAGGGATTAAGACTGGGCTGGTTTAACCCCCAGAAACAGCTGACCAGACAAAGGTTAACTCTTGAATCCCAGGCATCAGCCTGGGAATCCAGCATGGGACTGATCAAGACCCCCCTGAATGTGGGTGTCAGTGAGGAGGCCTAGGGAACCTATTGAGCCTTGGGCAGCAGATCAGTACCCATCCCAAGTATACACACGGACTTTGGACTCCCATAGAACAATGTGAGGTGCACTCTCACCCTGAACTCTTGGGGAAGGGTCTAGGCCCTGCCCTATATGAAATGACAGACTATGGACACCCCCATGGAGGGCCTCACCCTCCCTGGGGGAATGAGGGGATAACAGGGGGGGTTGGGGGGAGGGCACGGGAGGAGGGGAGGGAATGGGAGAGGGACCTGGAACTGACTTGTGAAGCAACCTCGTTTCTTATCTAAATTTAAACTGGAAAAAAAAAGAAAGTTATTTGAATGCATGTTAAACATTAATGTAAAAAAAAAAGTCTGCGGTCAATCTTGGAGTTTCATGTATGAGATGAACATATTAAGGTCACTATCATGGATAACTGCTTACAGAGATTAAAATCCCATGCCCTATTTAAATGTGTTCTCATTTTCAAAGAGAGTCTTGTGCTACCACATCTCCATGAAAAAAAAAACCTATGTTTCAACCTAAAAGCAAATTAATCTGCTATAAGCCCAATGACTCTGAACTTATTCCTCCTAGGAGCGCTGGCGTAGACCTTTGGTGGATTCATCACACGACAGCATGATTGAGAGGTGACAAAATACAGGAGTAGGGTAGGCCACTAGGGGCCCCTTGCATATTCCCTCTGCTTTCTGCCCACCACAAAGCAAGCAATGCTGTCCCTCACAGCTCCAAGGAGTCCTGATTGAAACATCTCATGCTCTGAGCCAGAGAAGCCAGCCCTTCTGTGGTGCTTGTGACAGAAGGGCATCTAGCACACATGTTCCCTTCATAACACCTGCACTCTCAGTTTGGGATTAGATTTACACCATCTTACAGCACCACCAATAGCATACTTGCATGATGCTCTCATAGGCTCTACTCACTTTTGTTTACATAATGATGCTGTTTGCTTTTAGAAGGCAAGCAACTTGTATAAGGTCAGGGAGAAGAGGGACCCTTAACCACATTGACTGTTTCTGCAGTCTGGACTTTGGGTTTCGTGCCTTCTAGTCACTGGCCATTGGGCTATATTAGTCCATCACAGGCATCATCGATATCAGAATAGCAATAAGCACTTTGAGCCGATTAACTGAGCTCCCTTAAAATAATCTACAGAGACACCTATATTAAACCAAGTTTAATTTCAGAAGACTGTATGGCTATGGTTCCAATTATTCCAAATCAAGAGTCTCCCATGTAGTGACAGAATGAAACACGTTCACAGCAAGGTATGCACACGCCTCTGCCCTTCCAAAGGGCCTAGGGCAGAAAGGAGGCTTCTCCCTCTCTAATTACCCATGCTGGAGAGGCAGGCAGGCAGGAATCATGTTATGTGTAGGTACCAAGAGCTTCAGCAACCAGAAAGGCTCCTTCTCTCTTCTCAGAGACACTAATTAGTGCTTCGAAATAGACACAAACCAACTCACTTTTCATTTAAAAGGAAAAGTCTGTATTTATGTGGATCACAGATAATGACATGTTTTTACTAAGTGACAAGACCAATCACATAAAACATCTGAAGAAATATCAGGGGTTTACTAGCAATGTGCTTGTGCTTCAAGGGGACCAGGCTGTGTGCAGCTATGCTATGCCACATAACAAAGTCACCTCAGGAAAAAAAAATGGAGGATACCAGGAGGGAAACAGTTTTCAGTGGGCAAAATCTAACATTAAAGGCTTTCTGCCCACATCTCGATAAGATTTGTTTAGTAACATCTCTAGCAGAGGATTGCATGAGTGACCATATGTGTCCCAGCCCCAAATCCCTATAAAATGCTTCAGGTGCCTTCTCCTCTTGGGGTTAACTGCCAGATCTGCTTTGTTCTAGCTCTAATCCTGTTGGTGCCTACCAACATCTTGAGAGCAGGAGCAATTGCCCGGGGCCTTTCCTTGGGATGCAGTCATCCTTACTCTCACTGATGTGTATGCTGTCCCAGAGGCATGGAGCCTTTCCCATAGGAGCAGCTCTCCACTCGGATACTTCACTCGAGCTTCTGAGTGTGGTTCTTCCTTGTCTGCCTCGCTGCCCCTCATCCTCCTGAAAGCATCAGCTTTCCAGTCAGGCAGGGATGCGGTGGCAGCAGTGGTCCAG